ATGGGGTGAGGTGAGACTGACTCTCCTGACATAAGGCAGTATGTGACCGAGTGTAGCACCAAGGGGCCTAGTAGATGTGAAGTCGGCGGGAATCTGCTCTTTTTGGAGTTGTGCCTAGTTGAAAGGAAGGTAATTGTGCTTGTTAAAGGGAAATCATCTCAGCCCAGGAACGACATTGCAGGACGTCCGCTGGGTAGTGATCTAGGCCAAGTCCTCTTCAGCTGTTTCATCAATTACCTTCTGTCAATCATAAAGTCAGAAGTGGGGATACTCATTGCACAGTATTCTGTTCCTATTCACAACTACTCAGACAATGAAGCTGTCTGTGCCTACCTGCAGAAAGACCCAGACAACATTCAGGCTTTGGCTCTGAAGTCCCAAGTAATCCTCATGCCACCAGCGGGCTAATAATCATCCCCAACAAGAGAGAATCCGGCCATTGTCTCTTGATATTGAATGGTGCCTCTTGATTTTGATGGCATTACCATTGATCAGCATCCTGGGGATTACCAGTGGCCTGAAAACCTAAGTAGACAAGATGCTCCAGCAACAAAATCAGGTCAGAAGTCAGTAATTCTGCAAGGCGTATCTTGCCTCTTGACTCCGCAAAGCTTGCTGACAATCTGTAAAGCACCAGTAGGAATGTCATGGAATTCTCTTTCCCGGATGAGTGCAGCATTTGAGAAGATTGACACCATCACTTGACCGGCACCTTGTCCCGTTCCTGAAATATACGTTTCCTCCACCATCTCAAGCCCCAGAGGCAGCAGCATTTACAGGATTCACGACAGCAGCTTACCAATCCTCCTTTTGAAAGCACCTTCCAAGCTTGCAACCGTTACTAACTAGAAGGACAAGGACAAGGACAGTAGACGAGTGGCAACAGCACTAGCTACAAGTTCTCCTCCAAACTGCACACTTTCCTGTTTTTTCACTGTTGCAGATCAAAGCCTGGCCCTCCCTTCTTGATAATACCACATGACCGGCACAATTCAAGAAGGCAGCCTATCACCATCACCTCCTAAGGCAGTTAGGGATGAACAATAAATGCTGGTCTTTATAGAAGAAATATTTGAGAGGACAATCCTTTACATTCTTATGCCAAAAAGTAAAAGCTATACACAAATTATAAAGACACTAAATTAGGAGCAGAAGGAGGCTCTTCAAGTCTGCTTCACCATTCAATGAGTGTGGCTTATCTGTGTGATCTACATTTGTTTATCGCTCATAACCCTTGATTCCCCTACCTAACCAGAATCTATCTACCTCCACTTTTAAAAATATTCTTTGACCCCATCTCTACTGCCTTCAGAGGCTGAGATTTCCAGAGATGGACACAGTCTTTCATATTTTATATGCATTTTTTGACATGCCCATTTCTTATTTACATTACAGATGGGTGTGGGAGCCTAGTATCTCTGAATAGTATGCCCGAAAGGATGGGAGTGTGATTGTACAGTACAATACAGTACTGCACAGATGGGTGAGCAACACATGGCTGTGGTCTGAGGGTTAAGCTTTTAAGATGATTTTCTGAGTTCGACTGGGTTTTTAATCTAAGTAATTGATTGAAATCTGCTGTTGAACAGGTTAAACTGACTGTATTTCAGGGCAGGCTTTTACAAACGTGCGTTGTGTTGGAATGGTTGCTTTGGATAATCCAACTCTCTCCCCAGATTTCATTTCTTCTGATCTGTGTTTTCAGCCCAAGTAATTTTATCCCATTTTTTTTGCGGCCAGCATTTCAAAATCAACATTGTGCATGTTGATGAACTGTTGTACAACAAATTCTATACTGTGAATTATTGTAATGTAGCAACTTAAAGTTAGTTTTTGCTTTGTCTACATCTCTTTAGAAAGGCAACTTGGCAATTCCTCCCCTTGATGGTTTCAAAGGATCATAGTATTTGTGTAACAGATGATGCATATGCAATCATTCAGTTCACTGCTGTTTTTATTTTTGCAGATGCTGCACTGTCTCAATTTTGATCAATATTGGTTTCCTGTCTTTTTGTTGTAGTATCGGTATTGCACCTCTTTTAAATGGATGATATAAGGCTATAATAATACAACTTCTCCTTTCATAGCGTAAGTGGTGGATGTGGGTACAATTACAACATTCCAAAGACATTTGGATAAGTACATGAATAGGAAAGGTTTGGAAGATATGGACCAGAAGCAGGCAGATGGGACTAAGTTAGTTTGGGATTATGGTCAGCATGGACTGGTTGGACCGAAGGGTCTGTTTCTGTGCTGTATGTCTCTATGCCCCTGGGTGTTTGAAATAGCTACAATAAGGGAATTGCTTCAAAGTGCAGTCACTTTTTTTACACACTTTTTTTTTATAAGACCGTAGGTTCAGCATTAGGGTATTCAGCCCTTGAACATGCTAAATTGCCCACAGTGTCCAGGGATGTGCAGACTAGGTGGATTAAACATAGGAAAGGCATGATTACAGGGATAGGGTGGTGGGCAGGGGGGAAAGCTGGGTCTTGGTGGGATGCTGTTTGGAGGGGTGGTGTGAGCCGATGGGCCGAATGACCTGCTTGCACGCTGTAGAGATTCTGATTCACTAGTCCTACAAACAAGACAAATGACCAACTAATCTGTTTTTAATTGTGGTTGATGGCTGACTGAGGATCAGGGAACCTACTCTCGATAGAAAAATGTCATGGGATCATTTTAGGTCCATTTAGGCAATTGGGCATCTTATGAGTAGCTTTAACATCATTAAATACGTTATCCCTTGACAATGCAACACTTCTTCATGATATTAAATCTGAGTTATGTCATATCAGGAATATTAACAATATTGAAGCTCTTGTGGTGCAGTGGTAGTGTCCCTACCTTTGAGCCAGGAGAGACAGATTCATATCTCACTTGTTCCAGAGGTGTGCAATAACATCCCTGAATCAGGTTGTTTAGAAATTACTCTAGATTTTGAGTGGACCTTGAACTTATGTCTGCCTTTTTCGGATGTAAAAGGATTACCATGCAGTCAAATCGGCACTGCAGTTTTTAGAATGATATAAAGCTTAGTTTTCACACCTTTATCATGTTGCTATCTCAATTTGAAGTTGTTGAATTGTACATGTTGACCTAAAGAGCTAGCTAGAAGTAATTGCTGAGCCTCTATGTATGTGAGGGAGGTTAACAAATAAAATTTCAACTGGGATAATATGTTGATGTATCCTATCGTTAATAACCATCCAATAAACAAACACATTTATGCTGCTGTAGATTCATAGAGCTGTACAGCGTGGAAACAGACCTTCAGTCCAACTCGTCCATGCTGACCAACTCGTCCTAAACAGACATAGTCCCATTTGCCAGCATTCAGCCCATGTCCCTCTAAACCCTTCCTATTCAAATGCCCGTCCAGATGCCTTTTAAATGTTATAATTGTATCAGCCTCTTCCGCTTCCTCTGGCAGCTCACTCAATACATGCACCACCCTCTGTGTGGCAAAAGTTGCCCTTTAGGTCCCTTTTAAATCTTTCCCCTCTCACCTTCAACCTATGCCCTCTAGTTTTGGATTCCCTTACCCTAAGAAAAAGACCTTGGTTATTCACCCTATCCATGCCCCTCATGATTTTATAAAACCTCTATAAGGCTGCCCCTTTAGCCTCTGATGCTCCAGGAAAAATAAGCCCAGGCTATTCAGCTTCTCCCTATAACTCATACCCTCCAACCTTGGCAATATCTTTGTGAATTATTTCTGCACACTTTCAAGTTTCACAACATCTTTCCTATAGCAGGGAGAGCAGAATTTGAACGCAGTATTGCAAAAGTGGCCTAACCAATGTCCTGTGCGGCTGTAACATGACCTCCCAACTCCTACACTCAATGCACTGACCAATAAAGGCAAGTGTACCAAACACTGCCTTCACTACTCTGTCTAGCTGCAACACCACTTCCAAGGAATGGTTTGCTAGAAGTGCTAGTTGGCTAGAACTTGCAGTGATGTGCAGTTGTCTTGCTTTGCATCTGAACTGCTGAAGGTTATTAAATTATATCACAGAAGAGAGTTTGCTGATTTCACACTGAATAGTGCCGTCATCTGAAATTTAGAGGGAATATTTCTCGTGGGTATGGATTGAGTATCACATGAAGAGCATATTGTGTTGACAAGTATTCTGACATCTGTATGCAGGGCCAGGACATTGCATTTCTTTTGACCTTTGTCAAATCAAGTGTTAAACTGGAGATGAGAGAGCAAAAGCATCATCTTGCAGAGGACATAGTACCTGTCAGCACAAGTAATGGCGACAGTGCTATATGCTGAATCTACAAATTGTCAGGCTGCCAAATTCATTTCACACTGTGCTCCACTTCCAGATGGCTAATTTCTAGAAATGATAGAGAAAAATGCAGCAGTGGTGTGTCTCGACATTAAAAGGGACCAGCTGGCATCGAGGTAGGCATTACAAAGGCACGCCCAGCCGGCATGACTCTGGAGAGTTTGCCTTCTGGAACTTGCTGGACAATAGTGGGAAAACTGAGAGCTGCCCCACAGCCTGACTGTGTTGTGAGACTGAATCATACCTTTCGGACGACTCCTTTTACTAACCCTGGTATGCCATGTCCCCGCAGCAGCAGGACAGACCCACCAGAGGTTGCAACACAGTTGATACAATCAGGTGGGAATGGTCCTGAAAGACCTCCGCATTGATACCAAACTCCATAAAGTTCTATTGGCATCCAGCCATATGTGGGAAATGATACACTTCAAAATTAACAACCACTGCCCACCCTTGGCTGTAGAATCTGTATCCTCCATGTTGGGGAAAGTGATGGTAAAACCAAAGATAATCGCACTGTATTGTTGGTGCATCCAGTTGGGAATGACGCGCCATTAGATAGCTAATGCGTAAAAGTCAGAGGAAGCTACATGAAACATCAGTCTTCAGCCAGAATGGATATCCGCCTCTGTCTCCCTTAATGAGATTTCCACTATCGTAGATGCAAGTCTCCTGCAAATTTAATTTGTTCAAAGTAATATGAAGAAACGGCTGTGCATGCTGGATACAATCAAGGTTGTGGGCCCCAGTGCTGAAAACCTGGGCTTCTTAGTCAAGCTGTCCCAGTACAGCTACAACAGAGAGCATGGAGAATTGCCTAGGTCTGTGCAATTCACCGAAAGCAGGACACATTCTTTCAACAAAATTACCACCCCATCATCCTACTTTCAATCATTAGTGAAACAATGGAAGACTTTGTTGACACTGCTATCAGGCAGCACTTTAGTTGCAAATCACTTGCTGACTGACTCACTCTTACATGCGCACTCACGTAAGCACTCGCAAGCACACACTCGTGCTCGCAAACACTTTTGCAGGCAAACGGGCATCCACACGCTCTCTCTCTCCATAGAATACACCTCCTCCCACGCACCTTCCTGCAAAAATGCCATCCCCATTCCCAATTCCTTCACCTCCGCAGCATCTGCTCCCAGGATGAGGCATTCCACTCCCGTACATCTCAGATGTCCTCCGTTTTTCAAGGACCGCAACTTCCCCCGCCTCAGTGGTCGAGAACGCGCTCGACCGTGTCTCCCACATTTCCCGCAACTCATCCCTCACATCCTCTCCCCGCAATAACAACTAAAACAGAATCCCCCTCGTCCTCACGTACCACCCCACCAACCTCCGGATCCAACGCATCATCCTCCAACACTTCTGCCATCTGCAATCCGACCCCACCACCAAAGACACTTTGCCCTCCCTACCCTTATCTGCTTTCCAGAGGGACCACTCTCTCAGTGACTCCCTTGTCCGCTCCACACTCCCCTCCAGCCCCATCACACCCAGCACTTTTCCCTGCAACCGCAGGAAGTGCTACACCTGCCCCTACACCTCCCCCCTCACCCCCATCCCAGGCCCCAAAAAGACTTTCCACATCAAGCAGATGTTCACCTGCACATCTGCTAATGTGGTATACTGCATCTGCTGTTCCCGTTGTGGCCTCCTCTACATCGGGGAAAGCTAGCGGAAGCTTGGGGACCGTTTGCAGATAACCTACACTCTTCGCACTAAACAACTGCACCTCCCAGTCGTGAACCGTTTCAATTCCCCCTCCCATTCCTCAGATGACATGTCCATCCTGGGCCTCCTGCAGTGCCACAACGATGCCACCCGAAGGTTGCAGGAAGAGCAACTCGTATTCTGCTTGGGAACCCTGCAGCCCAATGGTATCAATGTGGACTTGACAAGCTTCAAAATCTCCCCTCCCCCTACCGCATCCCAAAACCAGTCCAGCTCGTCCCCGCCTCCCTAACCTGTTCTTCCTCCCACCTATCCCCTCCTCCCACCTCAAGCCGCACCCCCATCTCCTACCTACTAACCTCATCCCGCCCCCTTGACCTGTCCGTCCTCCCTGGACTGACCTATCTACTCCCTACCTCCCCACCTACACTCACCTTTACTGGCTCCATCCCCGCCTCTGAGCTGTCTGTCTCCTCTCCACCTATCTTCTCCTCTATCCATCTTCTATCCGCCTCCCCCTCTCTCCCTATTTATTTCAGAACCCCCTTCCCCTCCCCCATTTCTGAAGAAGGGTCTAGGCCCGAAACGTCAGCCTTCCTGCTCCTCTGATGCTGCTTGGCCTGCTGTGTTCATCCAGCTCTACACCTTGTTATCTCAGATTCTCCAGCATCTGCAGTTCCTACTACCTCATCCATGCTCTCTCTCACTGGCACATGCACACTTCCAAACATGCATGAGCATACTCCTTGCATGCAGCCTTAAAGGAAAAGTAAAGATTTTCACTGCAGATTCATTTTGGGGACTAACACCTTTGGCTAGTTATTGTTAGTTCTTGTAGGTAAAAAGGACGATGTATGGAATGTTCAGAGAGCTGGCTTTTTTGCATGTGTGGACAGATGTACAGTTGTCTCTAGGGTCTTTGCAGGCTAGGTAATTCAGTGGCTTCTCACAGGAGCACCTAAATCAGTGTTCCAGGTATAACAATGGATGCACAAGAAGGGTTTCTTTTGTCAGAAATTGAAGAACTGTTCTGGGAAGATTTTCTGCAGGTTGGATACCAAAGCCCATTACATCCAAAACATTGTTCAAGCTTAAAAACTAGCTATCTGGTAGCTGTATCCAAGTAATTAGCTGAAACAGTGTGATTTCCAAGAGATATCTTGTTTAAAAAAAATGTCCAATGTCAAAAGTAATCTTTTAAGTGACCCTTTCTTGAAAGGACAATCCTGGTATCCACGGAATTTGAAATAAATCTGCTTTTCCATAAACCTTCAAATCTCAAGTCCTTAAAAAAAAAAAAAAAATGATGACTGCCTTCATGACCATTGCTAACTAAAACCCCCATTCTTGGTATCATTCTGATTAAACCTCCTTTTGTACTCTGCCCCCTTGCTAAAGTGTAGTGTCCAGAATTGGTTACACTATTCTTGATGAGAGATTTGTAACTATGACGTCCTTGTTTTTTTATTCAATGCCAATCAGAATTTTGAACTCCTGTCTCAAACATCTATGGAAACTTTCAAGACAGTGATCAATGCCTTTCATCAGGTAAGGATATTGAGAGGTGAGGGGCAAAGACTGATAAGTCGGATTGAGAGTATGTATCAGTTATGGCCAAATTACATGACACAGTAGTCTCAAGGGTCTGGTTAGACTGCTTTTCTCCCTGAGTTTGTATGATCAGGGCGGCACAGTGGCTCAGTGGTTAGCACTGCTGCCTCACAGCACCAGGGACCTTGGTTTGATTCCACCCTTGGGCAACTGTGTGGAGTTTGCACATTCTCCCGTGTCTGCGTGGGTTTCCTCTCGGCGCTCCAGTTTCCTCCCACAGTCCAAAGATGTGCAGATTAGGTGGATTGGCCATGCTAAATTGTCCATCATGTCCAGGGATGTGCAGGCTAGGTAGATTTGGCCATGGGAAGTACAGACATATGGGGACAGTAGGGGAGTGGGCCTGGGTAGGATGCTGTTTGGAAGGTCAGTGTGAACTCAATGGGTCGAATGGCCTGCTTCCACACTAGGGATTCTATGATTCTGTGTTTTCCCCTTTACACGTGAACAGTGTACAAACAGTAAGTAAAGCCAAGTCACCATAGTCCCAGAGGACCATAGGGCAGCTCTCTAACGAGAGAGAGAGAGAGAGACAACTCGTGGTTGTTTTACCTAAGGGTCACCACGCCTCAGGTGAGGGGAGATGTTGAGATGAAGAGTCTTTCATGGTAACCTTAGCCAGTGTGGGAATAATGTGTTGGTAATTGAAGTTTTTGTGGAAATAAGGCCTTCATCATTACAGCTATTTTGAGTAATTCCAGTGAGTGGTCAGTTTCTTTTCATTTTTTGGCTATGAAAATTACTTCTTCCAAAACAGGAAACATTAACTTGTGATGTGCACTTCCACTGCAAGTTTGGAGTTTGTAGAAAGTGTTTAATTTGTGGAGCAGAAACTGGGTAAAGAGACACAAACTGACTAAAGTCAAGGGAAGTGAGACTTCCATCTCCCAGAGCAGACCCTGATTCAGGGCTGTGTTTGTAATGAGATGCAGTAATGATGTAACTATTGAGACACTGCTGTGCCTTTTGTCTGGTTATTTAAAAATTTAATAGTTAATTAGAAAGTTACAGCAGAGGGATAATTTATCCAGAGTAAAGATTAAACTTCTTTATACACTGTGTTTTGATTATTAAGTACATTACTACTTTGTATCTGATGAGCCTATGACAGATTGTCACAAGGTATCAGTAATTGAACCTGTTTCTTTGCTGCAATATCAGATTGCATTTTGAAATTCTAGCGCCTCTGCCTCATGAAAGCAAGTGCCCATACTGTTGAAGAAATCCTCATTTTAAAGATTGATATACATCTCATCTCATGACTTGTAACAAACCAGTGCCTTGTGATTCTCTGATTTCTATAACGCCACCATGTTTACTAAAAATCTTACCCATAGCTCCAATGAGATGAGACAGGTATTTAATTTCACCTTTTATTCTAAACAACTTTTCATGGTAGAGATGAGGAATAGCAGTACCATTTCTAGGCACCTCCTATCAGAATCAAACATTCCTAGGTCAGGTGTAGCAGAATCAGTAGAGAATAAATCTCCTGATATTCCACTTCAACCATGTGCTTTAGTCCCTAGATCAGAAGAATACCTTCACCACTCATGTCCTTAGCACCTAATCCTGTTATTGCACACCAGACCCTTGCATCTGACAATTAATTGTAAGTTTAAGCAAAAGATTCAACTTGGCCCCTCAAGCCTGCACAAGACAAATAAGATTGGTTGATCTGATATGCCATTGAATCCACTCCACCTCCCTTCACCTCACCATCCCACCCTACCCCCCGACTCCCCAAAGCTCGCTCCCATGTTACTCAAGAATCCATAACTCAGCCATGGACATGTTCAATGATCCAGCCCTCAATGCTGTCGGGGGAAGAGAATTAATGGCTCCTTAAACGGTTGCATTTTTTTGTGTAGCACATTGTGCATGGTGTATTCCAGATGAGCAAAAACATTATTATTTTCATCTCTTACATGAGCTTTTATATTTTCAACCTGAGATTTATCGATCAAGAATAGTTTTCAATATCACCAGGATTGACACTTTTCAAATTAGTTCAGCATAGCAAAGGGAACATGCATAGTATTAATTGTGATTAGAAATATTTACAATTAAACATTATTTTCTAATCCATTATACTGCACAATTGACATTCTTTTTGCTTCCAGTACAGTTTCTAAGAGCATGTCGGCTCTTTGACTTAAAGGTGATGTTCAACATTATTTCACAGCCTTGTGAATTAATTGTGTATGTTTGCAAAGCAGAGATAGAGGTGCCTGACCATTTAATTAAAAGGTTTTCTTTTGAGTTTGATTTGATTTTATTGTTGTCACATGTACCAAGATACAGTGAAAAGTGTTGTTTTGCATGCTATATAGGCAGATCGTCCTGTACAAAGTGCATCAGGGTAGCAGAACAGTGCAGAATACAGTGTTACAGCTGCAGAGAAGGTATATATATATATATAGAGAGAGAGAGAGAGAGAGATCAGAATTAACATTTGAGAGGTCAGTTCAAAAGTCTGATAACAGCAGCAAAGAAGCTGTTCTCGAATGTTTGAGCAAGCAGGATTTTCACTTCTTACTGCAGATGGAATTCAACTCCATAAATTATGTACACGGTTTTAATATTTAGAGATGTCATTTATTTAGAATTTCTACTCCCATTTATATCATTCTTGTGTGTCAGCTTTCTTTCAAGCCTGAAGGAGCTGTTTATGCTTCAGTGAAAATCTGAATGGAA